TATCTAAAGGAACCCACTTTAAATATGAAGACAGATTAAAAGTAAGTGGATGGAGAAATATCAAAAGAAAGTGTGACTGGATATATTAATTTCAGACAAAAGTGATTATCTGAGCAAGAAAAGTTATCAGGAATAAAGTGGGTCATTGCATTAAGATAAAGGGGTCACTTTTTCAAGAAGGCATAAGAGTCCTAAATGTATATATTTGGCTAACAATGAAACATTGACAAAAATGTTCCATTATAAGGCAAAAACTGACAGTACTGTGCTAGAAGTAAAGGAGAAATAGATTAGTTCACTAATTAGAGTGAAGACTTTAGTATCCGTCTATCAGAAGTGGACAGATTTGGAGACAGAAAATCAGTAAGGGCATAGTTTGGTTTAACAACACACTATCAATCTCAACTGGATGTAATTGACATTTATAGACTACTTCATTCAGTGATAGCAGAATACATTCTCTTTTCAAGCTTATGCAAAATATTCTCTAAGTTAATCTATATTTCTGGGCCATAAAACACTGTTAATGAATTTAAAAAATATAGAAATTTAACATTGTATTCTCACATCACGATGGAATTAAACTAGAAATCAGTTACAGAAAGATAGTTGAAAAATTCAAAGTATTTGAAAATTAAATAGCATGCCTCTAAACATCTGAGTCAAAGAGGAACTATGAAGACAAATTTTAAGATCTTTGAACTACATGAAAATGAAGATAATTAAAATATGTGGGATACTGCAAAAGCTATGGATAGAAGTTTTTATATTAGAAAATAATAAAGATCTAAAAATCTAAGTTTCTAACTTAGGAGACTAGAAAAAGAAGAGCAAATTGAATTCAGGCAGAAGCAGCCTGGGGATATAGCTCAGTTGGTAGAGTGCTTGCTTAGCATATACAAGGCCCTGTGTTCAATCCCTATCACAACCACAAAAAAAAAAAAAGTAAAATTTAGAGCAGAAACCAGGACATCAACAGATAAAACCAATAAAACCAAAATCTGGTTCTTTTGAAATATCAGTAAAGTTTAGAGGCCTCTAGCTAGGCTAAGAGAAAAAGACAGAAATTAATAATAGACCTGAAAGAAGGGACATCACTATAGGTCTTAAAGACATTAAAAGGATAGTAAAGGACTATAATAGTAAACTGTGTCCATAAATTTGATAACCTAGATGAAATGAACCAATTCCTTGAAGGACTTAATCTGAATCAGCCTCTATTTAAAGAAATTGAATCAACTAATAAAATAGAAAGTTTTAGGCTCAGATGGATCCCCATGAATTTTACCAAACATTTGAGGGAGAAATCATATCATTTCCTGCAGTCTCTTTTCTTACAAGATAGAAGCAGAGGGAGTACTTTCTAAATCTTGGTGAGAAGCATTACTCTAAATGTAAAATACAGACACTTAAAAATCCTAGAAGAACATTGAATTTGGCAAATGATTTTTTAGTTCACAACACCAAAGATGTTGTAGGTGAAAAACCTTACTGACCAACATCTCTCATGAACATAAGTGAGAAATTCTTAATAAGATAACAGTGAATCAAATTCAGTAGTGTATAAAAATAATGATATGCTAAAATAAAATAGGATTTATCCCAGGCATGCATGCCTGACCCAGCATACAAAAATTGCTGTAATCTATCATATCAACAGGCTAAAGAGGAAAAATTATATATGGTCATGTCAATAGGTGCAGAAAAAATATTTGACAGATTCCAACACAAATTCATGATAAAAACCTTAGTAAACTAGGAATAGAAGGGAACTTCTTTAAATTTAAATATAGAACATGTAGGGGTTGGGGAGATAACTCAGTGGCAGAGTACTTGCCTAGTATGCTCAGGGCTCTGGGTTTGATGTTTGGTATGAGTTCTTGCGCATGGCGGGGGTCAGGGTGGGGGGGGATAAGAAGGAAAAAAAGACATCTACAAAAAACCTTATCTCTACAAAGGACAAAAGTTTTCTAAAATCAGATTGTGTTGATGGTTGCACAAGTTTGTAAATATACTGAAAAACACTATAGGTTTTAAATGTGTGAGTTATACAGTATATGAACTGTATCTTAGAATTGTGGGGCTCAGGGTGTGGAAGAAACCTAGTAACTAGGTTAGCTGTCGGTGTTGGAATGCGTATGGAAGATTCAATGTAAGTATTGCTTGAATGTGGGGAAAAAATTCAACTGTACAGCTAACATTATACTTGTGAGAATCTGGAGGTGAATATCCCAGTAAGATCAGGAGCAAGTTAATGATGTCCCCTTTTACCATTCCTTTTCAACATCACACTGGAAGTCCTAACTAATGCAGTGACACAGAAAAATGAAATAAAAGAACTTACTTTCTTTACAGAAGACATAATTATCTATGTAGAAAATTCAGTGGACAAAAAAATCACTCTTGGAACCAATAAGCAATTATAATAAAATAGCAGCATATTCAAAATTAATATATAAGAGCAAATGTTCTTATATATAAGCAATAGACAAGGGGATTTGAAAGTTAAAAAAAATGCCCATTTCCATTAACATTCTCAAATATGCATACATAGGTATAAATTGATAAAATTATGTACAAGATTTTTATAAAAATGTCAACTGATGAAAAATTAAAGAAAATCTAAATAGATATTTCATGTTCATAGATAAGAAGACTATGTTTTTAAAATATTATTTTCTCCTGACTTTATTTACATATTCAATGCAATTTCAATCAAAATCCCACTGATTTATTTTGTACATATTAACAGACTGATTTTGAAGTTTATATGGAGAGGCAAAGGGCCCAGAATTGCCAACTCATAACTGAAGGAAATGAACAAAGATGTTTTATACAATGAGGTTTTATACTGCCTGACTTCAAGGCTTACTATAAAACCATAGTAAAAAAGATTATGGCATTGGTAAAAAATTAAAATAAACAGATCAGTAGAATAGAGTAGAGATCATAGAAGCAGTCCTACATAAATGTAGCTAACTGATGTTTGACAAAGGAGCAAAGGCATTATAATGGAGAAAAGACAGAAAAACTAGATATCCCTATGCCAAGGAAAGAAAAAAAACCTCATTATATAAATCATAAAAATCAATTCAAAATAGGGCGTGGTTGTAAATGTAAAATACAGACACTTAAAAATCCTAGAAGAGAATGTAAAAGAAAATTTACATGACATTGAGCTTGGCAAATGATTTTTCAATTCACAGTATCAAAGGCAAGCTTTGTGATAGAAAGACAAGAGAATTTTATTCAGTGCCAAATAGAAATGAGCTATCATATCATAAAAAGACATGCAGTAATCTTAAATATATTACTGAGTAAAAGAAGTCAATCTGAAAATGCTACATATTTTATGATTCCTGTATGACATTCTGGAAGAGGAAGAATTATGGGGACAGTAAAAAGACCATTGGTTCCAGAGGTGGAGAGAAAGAAACACAGAGATTTTTAGGACAATGAATTTAATCTGTGTTATATAATGGTAAATGTCATTGTCAGTTTGTTCAAACCCATAATATGTACAACATCAAGAGTGAACCCTAATATAAACTGGATTTGGGGTGATGAAGATGTGTCGATGTAGGTCATCAGTTATAACAAATGTACCACTCTGGTGGTGGTGTACTGTTTATAGGAAAGGCAATGCATGTGTGGTGGCTGGGGCATATGGTAAATCTCTACTTTGCACTCAGTTTTGCTATGAACGTACAATAACTCCTTTAAGTTAGAAAATGTTAAAAAAACACAAATAATTGTTGTAAATAATTGATACTTAAAATGGTACTTTACTAATATAAGGGTAATTAAAATACATTTAGTACTAATGGCAGAGGTGTTATTTCTGATAATTTTAACATTAATTGTTAATAAAAGAAAATTAATAGCCACAATTAGACTGTCATTAAAATCATACTGGGTAAATAGGACAATAAAAGCACATATCTCATCGGGATGCTATGAAGATTGAATTAATATATGTAAAACCCTTAAAACAGGGCTTTATACATAGTGAAGTACTTGGTAATTATTAATTAGTAACTGAGAATGTTGCATGATGAGTTCCTGATGGTTGGTTGATTCTTTTCTCCATCTGTAGGAAGTTGACTCTTGGCCCACTGAAGTGTTGGGCCTGTGCAAGAGCCTTCTGAAATTCCTCTCTAGGGGCCTCTCAGCTTCCTTCCCAGAGCATCAGAATGGCTAGTATATTGTCCTCAAGTAGTGAGGATTTGAAATGAACTTTTAGTCTTTTGTGATTTATGGAAAATTGCTTTGCCCTTTACTTTCTTTTCTTCCCCTCTCATTCCTTTTTTCCTCTAAGCAGCAATACTGGATTTATTTTATTATTATTATTATTATTATTGCCAGGGATTAAACTCTGGGGTGCTTAAACACTGAGCCACATCCTTTTTTTTTTAATCTATTTTTTTTTTTTTTTTAAATCTGAGATAGGCTCTTACTAAGTTGGGAGGGCCTCACTAAGTTGCTGAGGCTGGATTTGAACTTGTGATCCTCCTGCCTCAGCCTCCTGAGCTGCTGGGATTACAGGTGTGTGTCATAACATGAGAATGTTGCATGATGAGTTGGTCTTAATACAAATGTCATATTCTCTCCTATGTCTGTCCCTTTGAACATGCTGTTCCCTATGGACAAAATATTTTTTTCTACCACCCCTGTTCTTTTTTTAAGTAGATCATACTAATGCTAGCATTAAATGCCCTTCCTTTAGGAGATCATTCCTAACCATTTCCTAGAAGATTGGTTTGTATCTTTGTTATGGTTTCCCTTTACATTATTGTGGTCCATCAAGCTTTTCTTCCCATTTCCAGTTGCTCTAGAGACTGATTTCCCCTAGTGATCTTATGTGTTCATTGCTGCATCCCTAATTCTTGGTATGCAGCAGGTTCCCCATAAATGTTTTTTACATGGATGAAAAAAAAATATTGGAGAAAATTTAACATAGAAGTTGGTTAGCATGATTTCAGCAACTGCCCTTGTTTATAAAGTTGTTATTTTTTCTGTAAAACTCTAAAACTCAGAAGCCGATTTTTGTCATAATATAAGATAGTTTTGGAAAATTCTGCAGTTCTTCTAGATCAATCTTTAGAACTTGGTGAGTTTCACTAGATACCTTCATTCTTCATTTTGAGCTTAGAGGTATGCCATCATTTTTCCCCCCTTCTCTTCTTAATCATGGTAGAGTGATTTGCAGTATCCTGGTGATCATACAAGCCAAGGAATTATAAAAATATTTTGGGCATAATCAGCTATTTACTTTGGTAACTTTTATTTATCTTTAGACTTTCAATTCTTTTTTTTTTTAAAGAGAGAGCGAGAGAGATAGAGATAGAGAGAATTTTTTTAATATTTATTTTTTAATTCTCGGTGGACACAACATCTTTGTTTGTATGTGGTGCTGAGGATCGAACCCGGGCCGCACGCATGCCAGGCGAGCGCGCTACCACTTGAGCTACATCCCCAGCCCGAGAATTTCAATTCTTTTTAAAAAATATTTTTTATAGTAGATGGACACAATACTTTTATTTTTTAATTTTTATGTGGTGCTGAAGTTCAAACCCAATGCCCTACACATGCTAGGCAAGCAAGCATTCTACCAAGTGAGCTACAGCTGCAGCCCTAGAATTTCAATTCTTATGAGGAATGAAAAGGTATTCATTGGCAAAATAATTAAGATCCAGATGGAAAGTACCTTCATTTTAGTAATTTCTGAAATTTCTTAGTTATTGCTCAAAAATTAAAATCAGCTTTTCTTCTGAGATTAAAAGATGATTTGCAAATGACTGAAAAGCTAAATAAGAATTATTTACTTAGAAATTAAGTATCAGGCAGCTGAGGTAAAGAAGGGCCAGTTACCTGCTATAGCTCCAAGTTTATAAATGAGTCTCCATCAGGGATCCATACACTGTCAAATACAACCTGCTACTTATTTTTGAATGATGCATGAGTTAAGAGTAATGTTTTCATTTTTAAATGGGTGAAAAAAATCTCAAAGAATACTAATTTGTGTTACATGAAAGTCAGGTGAGATTGTGATTTTAGTATTTGTGAACAAAGTTTTGTTATAATATAGGCACTCTTGTTTTCTATATATTGTGTAATATTGGCTACTTCCAGTGATCTTTATTGAAGACTAGCCTTTTCCTAGTGAAATGAAATATGTTTGTTATAATTCAGGTGGCTTTTTATTCATGAATTTATTTTTGGACTTCTGTTCTACTGGTCTCTTTGTCTGCTTTTGTAACAGTGCCATGCTCTTTTTATTATTGTAATTTTCAATACATCTCAGTATCTGGTAGTTTAAATGATCTAGGTTTGTTCTTCAAAATCGTCTTAGTTCGGTGGCTGGGGTGTGGCTCAGCGGTAAAGTGCGTGCCTCCCACATGTGAGGAAAGTAAATAAATAAATTTTAAAAAATACTGTGTCGGGCTGGGGTTGTGGCTCAGAGGTAGATCACTTGCCTGCCATGCGTGAGGTCCTGGGTTCAATCCTCAGCACCACATTAAAATAAAGATATTGTGTCCACATATAACTAAAAATAAATAAATAAATATTTAAAAAATACTGTGTCCATGTACAACTAAAAATATTTTTTAAAAAAATTGTCTTAGTTCTACTAGGACCTTGAATTTCAATGAAAAATTTGCACTCAGCCTCAGTATCTCTCCACCTGTTACCCTTCCCCTGCAGCCCCCTGGCTCAAAAACAAAAAGACAAACAACCCAATAGCTTGCTAGAATTTTGACTAGCTTAGTATAGAATCTGTGGATCAATTTGGATATATTGAACATTTTTCAGTATTGAAATTTCCAGTACACTAGCCAGAGTGTATACTGCCATATATTTAGGACTTTCAATAATTTTTCTCAGAATGCTTTTATTGTTTATGTATAGATGTCTTAAACATCTTTTGTTAACTTTTTAAGGTCTGATAATGATACTATGGTTATGTTTTAAAAAATATTTGTAATTTATAAATACACACTAGACCATTTACAGATAAAATGATATGGTTTTTCTTGATTTGCTTCTGATAATCCAAAGGAGTGGCAAGAAAGGGGAAGGGACAGAATAGAGGAAACAAGGTTAGCCGTGAGTTTATAACTGTTGAAACTGAGTGTTGGATATGTGGGATTAATCATATTATTCTTTTTACTCTGTGTATTTTGTGATTCCCCATAATAGTTTTTAAAAAGTGTAATGGGCTGGACATGAGGATACATACCTGTAGTCCCAGGTACTTGGGAGTCTGAGGTGGAAGGATTGCTTGAGTCCATAGCTTCAAGACTAGCAAGAATGATATAGCAAAATAATAATAATAACAACAACAACTGTAGTTGATTGAAATACACAAATATTTAAGAACCCAAGATTTCACAATAAATATTTAAAAAATACCTCATAGGCACCAAATAATTATTTTGAAAACAATTGGTAAATTAAAGCAAAAAACCCTTTGACCATTTGTTCTTTTTCTGTGCAGATTGTATCCCAGGATTACCAAATAGGAGAGAAAGTTGTATTTGTAGAAGAATTACAGCTTAATTTCTTAATAGCTGGAGTTTCAGGGCATAGTAGTACATGTCTGTAATCTCAGCAACTTGAGAGGAGGCAGGAGGATTGCAAATTCAAGGCCAGCTCAGACAACTTAGCAAGACCCTGCCCCAAAATAAAAAATAAAAAGGACTGAGATAATTCACAATAGCCAAGTTATGAAACCAGCCCAGGTGCCTCTCAGTAGATGAATGGATTAAGAAAATGTGGTATGTGTACACAGTTGAGATTTACTTAGACATAAAGAAGAATGAAGTTATGGCATTTGCTGGTAAATGAATGGAACTGGAGAACATCATGCCAAGTGAAATAAGCTAGACTCAGAAAATCAAGGGTCAAGTGTTTTCTTTCTCTCATGTGAAAGCTACAATGAAGTAAAGGAAAAAGGGTAGTGATCAGATTTTTTAAGGATAGAGGGAAGATCAGTGGAATAAAAAAAAGATTGAGGGGGAGGATGAAGGGAAGGGAAAGAGGAGGAAATGTAGAATGAATTTGACAAAATTACACTATGAATTTTATATAATATACAGTAAAATATACAGTAGTGAATTCTTTTGTATATGCATGAAACACCAGTTAAATGAATGAATGAATGTAACATGTCAAAACTGATCAAATTACATACTTCAAGTATGTGCATTTTATTTTATGTCAGTTTTACCTCAGTAAAGCTATGAATAAGTGAATAAATGAATGAATGAATGAATGAATGAATTAATGTAAGGCCAGTAGAGTAGAGGAAGGGGAATAGGGGAAGGGAAAGAGGAGATACTGGGGACTGAAATGGACAAATTAAATTCCATGTATGCATGGTTATGTCAAAATGAACCCAAGTGTTATGTATGACTATAATGCACTATAAAACATTATTATTATTTTTTAAAAAGGCTGGGGATGTAGCTCAGTGGTAAATCATTCCTGCATTCAATCCCCAATCCCTAATACTACCCTCCCCTTCCCACAAAAAAATCTGGCGAATAAAAGAAACTCACCATAGTGCAACTCTTGATATAGTAATGAATCTAGATGATAAGCAGTCAGACTCATAAAGCTGTTAGATGAAAATTTGTTGAGAAATGGGTAAAATCTAATGGATAGACTCAATATATTAAGAATCTCTTTGATTAAAACTAAAAGCTCTGAATAGAATACAAAAATCAAGTATCTAAAGACTCTGAAAAGTAAACGATAGCAGACAGTTTCAGAAGGGAAGAGAAAATTAGAAGATTAGCTTGTGTAGTAGTGAGCTTATAATTTTTTTTCTTTATATGACCTAGCTTTAACAGAACAGTTTGTTGGATTGTAGCACTACACATGGGATGGAGCTATTAACAAGAACTTCAAGAGAAATCCCTTATTTCTAGCCAGAGGACAAGGAAAAGTAGCCTTCTTCTTTTCTCTCCCCACTTGCCCTCAGACCATCTCCACTTGTCAAATTTCATTGCCATGGTGACACCAGCTCTTAAAACTCTCAAGAGAAAACCATCTCTGGCCAAAGGAATCAAGAAGATGCCCCTGAAAGCCAGGGCATGATTTGGAAATTTCAAGAAGTGAGCCCTAAATTGTGTGTCTGAGCCCACAGAGCTGTATATCCAAGCTGTACATGCACAGAACAGAACCAGAGAAACATAACCAAGACTTAGAGTACGAACTATGATATAAGCCCCTGCTCATACTGCAGACTTGTCCTTGAGTGATGCAGGCAGAGGATGAATCCAAATAGTAAGGTACAGGCTTTGAAAACTTAGTTGACTTTGGTTCCACCACCTACAGAAGGCAAGACAGAACTTGCGGTCTAAACTTAAAAATTCTCCAGAGGATGTTATTAGAACCTAGAATCTTGTAGCCTAATATTCAGAATGTCTAGAATATAACCCAAAATTGCTTGACATACAAGCAGGAAAATCTGACCATTTCTTACTGGGGGAAAAAAAAGACAATAATCAGATGTCACCTTTGACGTGATACAAAAGATGAATTATCAGAAAAAGATAATTCTGCAGTAGCTCCTGCTCATGAGGTAAGAGTAAGTACTTAAAATGAATAGAAAGACAGACCATAAATTTGTAGGATTTGCTTCTAAGACTCCAGATTTTCCCTATGAAAAATAGAAATGAAGCTGGGTGTTGTGGTACATGCCTATAATCTCAGCTACCCAGGAAGCTGAAGCAGAAGTATTGCAAATTTAAGGCCATACTGGGTAACTCAGCGAGACACTGTCTCAAAATAGAAAGGGCTGGGGTTGTAACCTAATGCTAGAGCACCCCTGAGTAAAATCCTCAGTTCAGAAAAAGAAAATATTATATGAAGGAATTAAATAGAAATTTCAGAATGAAAAAATATAGTATTTGAAATATAATTTACTGCATCAGCTTATCACAGAATGGAGATGACAGAGGAAGAAAGTGAACTTGAAGATAAATCAGAAGAAATATCATCAAGTCTTACATCTTCTGTATAAAGAAAGAGTATGTTTCTTCTGTAGTACTTATTAAGTCCGTACTGCACTCTGTGAAACCGGGTCCCAAGCCTCTGGCTGGTGAATTAGCATCCTCCATCTACACAGCCTCATAGCCTCATATTCC